AATCGCGATTCTTCGCATACATATCTTAAAGCGATGCGTGATCGCAGAATTACGTGAGCTCTTCAAGCCGTCTGGCTTCTCAATGCACTTCCCCAGGCTCTCATTGAAATAGAAGGTGGATGTTCAAGAAAGTTACGGGTTTATGGGTTATCTTCGTAGCTTGATACTTCGTTAAATGCCGCTTCGTGAGCATTGCAATTCTCTTCATCAGGGCAAGAAACAATCTGCGTGTGTGTGTGATACTCGCTTTGATAAAGTGAACTACGATGTTCACAAAATATTAGTATTTAATAATGATAATCAACACGGAAATGACCTGTAAATCGCCTAACTTCCTTGAAGAGAAATAATTAATATTAAAAAAAAAATATCTATTAAAACCGTGAATACACGCTGAATTTTTAGCGTTTTTGCAACACTAAAGATCCAGCTTGACTATTTAGAATCTTTATTTTCTATTTGTGGAATAATTTAAAGAAACTTCCTAGAAAATATATTAACAAAAGTACACGTGATTTTTTTCCCTATTCCGCAATTCAGCGTAGAACTTAAATAGAGCGTTTACGTTGAGATAAGTATCTATATAAACGCAATAACCTGCCTCATTTCTAAGAGAATGAGATCCATTTGAAAAAGAGTGAAGCTCATAACTGTAATTGAGTTTCGTTCATGCTAGGAATCGAAGATGAGAAATAACGGTGTCTCCGTGCATGGCAAAAAAGGAACGATAATGTGAAGGAACATTTCGTGGACACAGTTATGACGAAGGAGAACGGGAGACCGAAGAGAACACGCACCTTAATTATAATATTACTATAATATGTATTACGGCAAGCGTCCAGAAAACTGAAAAGATTGAAACCGTTTAAAGTATCGCATGTGGACGCACTGATTGCTCCGAATTATTTGATTGATTGACGGAATGCAACATCACATTATCACATGTATTGTTAAATTATATTGTAATCAGCTTGAAAAGCTGCATTGTTCTCTCCTTTACGGTAAATTCGAAAGAGGGAAGAGAAGGGGGAAGGATAACATTGAGTCGATTCATTCATCAACTCTCTTCTACGAAACTACGCGTTTACACCTAACAAGCTCTCTATAATGCCACGAGTATACGATTAATTAATAGCTGTTTAGTAGTGGGTGTTAAAGGAGTTACCCTTTACATTACGTATCAGTAATACGTATTAAATAGTATCAATGGTTACCGTTTAAAAGTGACGGCCGTTGGGATGACTAGGATGAGGACTAGAGTGCATCTACTCGGGATTGGACATCGGAATCGGCTTAGAAATCACCGGCGCCGATAGGACGACAATTTTGGAAGGATTTGGCCAGCACGACCATCGTTATTGGAAAAATACGAAATTAGAAAAATAATCTCTATCACCCACGCCACACTAGACGCGCTCGCTTAGTGCCAGATACACCGCTAAGAATTTCGCGCAAACTTCTCCGTACGGATGAAAGATCGCATTAAGCGAGTCCTTGCAGCGTTGTAACCAGGACGCAACGAGGTGACTTGTAAACGGCGAACGATTTACATGTGTCGACGGGTTACTCTCTCTGTTCGGCACTATGCTTCGACTACATCTTGACTATATTTGAGAGAACTCGGTAATCTTTGCGATTATAATAAGGACGCACTGTAATCTCAAAGAAGTTACCTGATGCCTTGCATCGTGAAATCACGTCAAGCTATGTTTCTCTCTCTCTTTCAAAAAAAAAAAAAAAAAAAGAGAGGAATAAATTAACGAGACCAATCGATCCCCGGAGGTCGGAAAACATTTGAGGTAGATTTCCCATCTACATCCGGTTTAAGAAATTGGGCGGGATGGGACAGCAAATAGTTATTAGTTGTATATATATTAATATTTTCCTCAGGACAAATTAAAACTTCTCTCTCGAAAACAAGAAAGACACGTAACATAGCACGACAAATGATAATTACATGAAATCTGTTAAAAGATTTAAACCTACAAGTCTTAACAAGTTAGAAAACTATTAGACCAGAAGATTGCGCGTAAGAGAATGTTCTTACATTAAGTGCACAATTAATTGCGATGTAGTTAACCCTTCAAAAACTTAACAAAAAGACTTTATCGAACTATATTCTAACTTTGGAATAAACTTCGAAACGCTCTGTATACTGTATACTGAAAACAATTTTCCACGACATGTCATCCCAGTTTTTTTTTTTTTTTTTTCCATTTAAGCCATACCCTAAGCAAAAGTCACAAGCGCACAACCATAGCCAGTCGCTAGATTTTCCAGTTGCAACACCGTATCGTTATCATCGCTCGGATTCTTCCAATCACCCACTTCTTTCTCTCCCTCTCTCTCTCTCTCTCTCTCTCTCTCTCACTCTCTCACTCTTAACAACGTCTGTCTTTAACTCGTGAGTGGTCACGCCATGAGCATCACAAAGCACGGCAAATAAAAGATCATTATTTTTTATTTTCTCCCCACGAGATATAAAATATCTCATCTTGTCTCGCAAAACTCACACACTTTTCAGTATCTTCGGAAAAGCTCGCAATAAGTTCATTTTAATTTCTTTTTTTTTTTTTACTCTTTCCTTTTTAACAAGACGCGACCACTCACGCGTTAAGCCTGCGTCCGTGTATTATTATTACTGTGTCTCGGTAATCGGCTGCGTGCGGTTATCGGTTTTGCCTAGTCGACATTCAAGGGAGGACCGGCGGATCCCGCTCGCTAGTTAGGGTATGTCAGCTGGTAGTAGTCTCCACCCGCCGAGTCCTCATCGGGGATTTGCAATTGCTTCACCCGTTTTACTAGCGCGCTAGAACACAGAATACTGTCGCTGAATTGTGGCGTCTCCTGTGGCGGATGTGTGCGGGCATGTTCATTTTATTTACTTTGTACAAGCAAGGAAGTAAAAGACCCCGCGATATACAATCTCATAGTGTACGTAAAGTCTTATAGGGAAAAATAAAACACAGTCAGAGATACACAAGAATCCGGCTGATACATTGCCAAAAATTCGTAATATTTTCGTAAAGAGGAAAATTCCTTGCTCTCAGCGAATTAGCAGAACCTCTTACGAAAATATTATTCAATATCAGCAGTGAATCAATGTACTCTTCTAAGCGACATTTCTACCCTATAGACTTCTATATATTATTCAATACGACTTTCAGAAGAAAATATTTATACCCGTTTCCATCAACGTAGATTAATTTTAATCTCGGTTCAACTTACTATTCATGTTTTTCTAGAAATTTTCTCTAAAAATTAGAATAAGATAAAGAGTGAGTTGAACGGAGATTAAAGTTAATATACTTTTATAGAAACGGGTATTAGTCTCTCTCTATACATCTTTTTACGACCGCACACATTGAGTCCTGCTGATCGTTATCACCGTTAATGAGGAATAGAACGAAAAACGGACTGACGAAACGAGTACATGATGCCACGTCTTGATGAAAGCTTCAAGGGTATGGCTTGAAATCAGACGAGATCGAGGACAGGGATGAGGACGGGAATTCGAGGGAGAGCAAATCTAACATATATACTTTACAAAGTGTACACTTCTTTTCTCGTTCACCGAGAAAGCTATCGAGTAAAAAGGAGCTAGCAACGTGAAAGAGAGTAGGCTGTTATGCGCATGTGGCCATGACGTGCTCAAAACTTACACGATTCGCGGTAGCGCGATCGTTATTGCATGTGATACCACAAACTGAAATGTTGTATTTCATGCTCCCGATACGAAAAATATTGCTTCCTTTAATTAAGAGATAGATAAGACGAAGCTTTATGTGCAATCTCCCCACGCGATGTGCTTAATAACTTCTGCGACTTCTTTGCGGTTAATATCGTTTTAAAATGTGGACTAAAATTGTAAAATTGCATATATATCGTATTTACAATAATATATGGTGAGTATGGGATACGAAAAGAATTCTAAAGGGATATTAAATGGCACTCTTCCTCTCCAAGACTTTTGTTGATTAACTCTCGTTATTTATAACTAAACGAAAAGATAATCATATTATAGAAAAGAACAGAAGTCTGGAACATATTATAATACAGCGCGCATAAGAAAATTAAAACGTCACGGGATTACCCAAAAGGTATTGTTGAGTTTTTCATGGTATTGAAAATTCAGATAGTGCAAAAGACGCAATTTTCCCTGATATGAAATGTTGACGTTAAGTATAAAAAACCGTTTAAATGTTCCCACCTGCACACATCATTAATTTCTCATAACATACATTCACCTTTACGAAATTTTTTGTACATAAAAGAAATGATATATGAAAAGATTCGGAAGGTCATCCTGAGTTTCAGAATATGACTTACAACTACAATGAACACAGACAGCGGATATACATAAATTTAATGGTTGGATGACACATTCTTTGTCTCCTGCGTACAGTATGCATACTTTATCGACTAACTATATCATAACATCGACCAGGTACTTTTTCAGTCTTCCTACACAGTCTCTAGTTAAAGCCTGCTACAGTTTCTGCACTGTATTACAGTCTCTACTCATAACTCTGCTACAAACGCGTTGAAATTAATTAAAATTATGTATTCAAAATTATAATCAATATCACGTAACTAAAAAAATTGAAATGATTGATGCAAATGTGTGTATACAGATTTGTTCAACACACAAAAAACAGAACGATGTTGCAATTAGAATATCTACGAAGCGATATAAAACAAAAAAAGTGATACGTAAATGGAAATGAGATAGTTGTACTTGACTGGATTTTATCTATATATGAAAGAATAATAACATCGGGAAAGAATAACATCAGCGAGAAAACAGTTCGTTTGCCCCGATTAAAGGGGAGGAACATCTTTGTATGATTTACATATCATTTACAAGTACGTCACGCGTTGTAAATTTAACCGCGGGATAATATTACACTAATCATTCTGAAGAAGCATCATGCATCACGGAGTTTTATGTTTCGACAGCGACGCAAGCATGAAAGGTAGTGAAAAATGTGAATACACACCCGGATTCGGTAGCGGCCTGATTGTTAATGTTACCGCTGTTGATGGAATTGTTGTTGGCGGAATTGGAATTCACCTCCTCCATATGCGCAGTGTTCAGCAACGAACTCCATTGCCTCATCACTTCTTCGCCCTGAGCTTCCAGCTCGGAAATTATAGTTGCGTCATCCAGCTCGTGCAATGCAGGATTGGAATTTAATCTGAAAGAGAAAGAAAGATAAATAATGATAATTTAATTCTAACAAAATAGCAATATGTTTATTTCTCTATTCAAGCTAATCTATAACGTATCTCGCTTATCAAAAATTATATCGCTTAATGCTAACCGCTGTTGTTCCTCGTAAGAGCTTGCGTCGCTGCCATCGTAATCTAACATTAAATCATCCGACGCGATGGATTCGCAGGGCGATAAAGTGTCTACGCTGCCTGCACGATGCAAACGTTGCCCGTGATGAGGACTATTCATTACGCCTTTGATATGCACGCCATCTGTAAACACAAATCACATGTATTGTCAATATATAAAATATATATTTCAATAAAAAATATCCAACATATACTTAACAAAAATATATTCATTTCTATTGAGATTATTATTAAAATTCAATAAAAACTTAACAATTTACACCTAAATATACTTGAGAAGAATAAGAACTCTAAGAATAGCAAATCTGTACTCACTCTTAGAACTTGTCTCAACCAGAGTATGGCTATTCTCGGTGATTACTTGACCGCCCATAGCGGATTGCGTTTCGATTCTCGCTCTCGGGTTGTTGTCATCAAAGATCAATCCGGGTTGATCCGCGATTTCATCGTCGAAGAACTCTCTACCCTCGGACAAGCTGAGCGAGTTGGAGGCGTTCGTCGGCGTGCCCGGACCGTCGTCCTCGAGAGTGTTGTCCGAACGCTCGTGCGCGTGTTCCTCATCTCTCTTCGAGGGCTTTCCATCTGACTGCGTGATACTGGCGGTAGGACTGTCAAACAGGCTGTCAACTGGTGAAGTCTCGTCGTCTATTAAAGTGGTTGTGGTAGCAGCGGCGGCGGCGAATGCGGGATCCTCGATGGTGAGCAACACCGAGCGTAGAACGTTCTTCGATGTTGCGCCGCTTTTCGTGGCAGCGGTGATTGCTTGCGCGTGCTGAGCAATAATAGAGTTGGTACGCTGATATTCGTCGCTGGAGCTTAACGAGTACTCGTCTGCCATGGCTTCACCGTGTCCATATTCGGGATCGTCCGAACTGGGAGGGCTAAAGTCCGATTTGATGGACGGGACCTTTTCTGTGCGCGATCGATCTTTGTAGACCTTCTCCTCACTCAGACATCCCTCGTCGTAGCCCTCCGAGGACGTGGTGGACATTGACGCAGTCGAGTCGGTGTATCTATTGTCCTTGTTAACGATTCGCTGATATTGCGTAGCCCGCTCTCGCACAAAGCCAGTATTTAGATTCACCGCAGCGGTTGCGAAAGATTTAGGCAACGGGATCACCGAGATCTCCGTGACAGTGCTGTCATCGTCACGGACATCTCTCACGTCAAAGCTTTTGCCGGACACCACCATGCGCAGGTTTCTCGGTCTGCCGACGCCGCGTCTCCTCAGAGAAGCATCATCCATGTAATCCATCGATCTGATTCTATCGTTGTCTTCCGAACCGATCGGTTGGCTGCTGACACCCGAATCTTCAGTCACCGAACCTTCCTTCGAACTGGACGAGCCCTTCGACGTGGATATCTTTCTGCTTTGATTTGCTGCAGTCTTAGCGATCTTCGAATTCGAGTCGTTTACTCGTACGGCATATTGAGGTAGCGGCAGATGACTGGTGTGCAGCGTGTACCTACTGATGGGTTCTGGAATGCCTGAAACTCGTTTGTTCGCGTCTGTGTGTTGCACCATCGAATTGCCGCCGTAAGCCATGTTATTCGATTGCGGTGGGCGAGATTTTGCTGGTACCGTCGTGCCGCACAAATGCTGTGGCACGTGCGCAACGACCCTGTTTGGTTGTTGCTGTTTGACAAAGTAGTTCTCTTGTTGCTGCTGCTGCTGCTGCTGCTGTTGCTGCTGCTGCTGTTGCTGCGAATATTGCTGCAGCTTCTCCTGATTGTAGTGACTGATGCTGTGGCTGTTGCAGATGTCGCCAACCTTGTTCGTGAATCTCGCTTGCGGCTGCCGATAGCCAAAGCGATTTGTCCTGACGCCGATACCACTCGAATCCTTCTTTGGCGGTGCCAACCGCGGTGTCGACCGGCCGGATGACGAATTGTGAATCATATTGCTGTTATCATCGTCCATCATCCGCCTGCGATCCTGCTCCGGGCCGGCCGACTTTGATCGTGGGTGCAGCAGGCTCTTCTCGTTGGTGGTACCGGCGACATAGTTCGTTATCGGCATAGGAATCCCGCTGGTGGGCCGTCGCCTGAAGCCGAAGGACATCGCGGTGCCGCGTGTGTGCGACGTGCCGCGCTTCGAAGAGCCCTGAAACGAGGATTTCTTCATTAGAAATTTGTCATACAGGATGTCTGTGTGAAAAAACTGAGGGGCGCAGAACACAATAAGATAATACGATGACAAATGTAAGAAAAATTGCAAAGATAGAATTAAAGTAAATTACATACACACGCACACATCATTCTTATCAGAGATTCTTTTAGCTCTTCCGACACAAATCGCTTGTTAGAAATGCAAGAAATAGTTTATTACGGCAAAGTTCTCGACGGGTTCTCGATCGATCTGTCTCGATCGCTATCGCGTTTCTACAGCCGACACGAACAAAGCACTTCGTAATCAAGCTGTAAGAGCTGGGATTATCAGCAGCGTATCGTTCCTAGTCACGCATTAACTACGATTATCCGCAGAAGAAGATCAATATCCCACGTAATTCAATTTCGACGATTGGATTGCGAAATTTTCCTCCAGCCGATTATGTGTTATAAATCCGGGCCATTTAATCTAAGCACGATCTTGGCCTTTTTATTCTTAAGACTTATATTTTGCTTTCTATTACGAATATCCATTCGGCATTAGGCTGCCAAGTGCGCATACATACCGTACGCTCGTGAGATTTCGGGGTCTGTTCGACGAACCTTTTGCTCGGTTCCCGACTGCAACAATATTAATCGATATTCGCGTGCGGATTATATAACGGCGCGGTGCTGATAGCGCATCCCGCCGCGGGAGTTCTCCGGAACAATGTGCTCGCGAGCACCGCATTGTCCATGATCGAGACGACTGAGGAACGACGGAACACGCCTCTGTGCGACTCGTGGAAGCTGTCTGATAGTCATCGCGTACAGTGGTCCATTTGAACTCCAGAAATAGCGTAACCGCGGCTGGCAGACCGACAAATCTGGGGATCGTATTCGCGCTTTGGGCGCTTTGGGCGCGTTCGCGAAGAGGCTCGCGAAACCCTAGCTGACTCGTCGCTTTCGACACAGATGTCTCGTGACAGCCGCAAATCGACCGCGAAATCGTCGTTCTGACGATTACGCATGTGGTACACATTTCCACGTTATACACGGCAAATGCGTAAAATGCAATGTCGTGTACGCTTATAAAGCAATACAACCTAAATTGTCAGTCCGCAAACACAATTGAGTAGTAAGCCTTAAGTCTTAAGAAATAGATAGATCAATCACGGTCTCATGGGAGAGGAATAATCGCTTTGGTCAATTCCTTCCTGGTCTTTTGTGTTTGCGGAGTGAAAAATAATGAGTGCTTTTCAGCAAGAGACACGGTCAATTTATCCTTGTTGTTTGCCAATGTTAAACAAAGATGATATGATCACAATCTATTTTCTAATTTTTACTAAAAACGCGCATAATTTGCGATCGTTAGCGATGACAGGTAGTGTGACACACCTGGAAAGTATCAAATGTATTCAGAACTTCTTCGATCATATCTATCAATTTTCGAACAATATCAAGGATCATTTTCAACTCCCAAAATATAAATTCAACTGTACTGACTTTAACTAAACGATATAAAAATTTGCGATTCAGGAAATCTCGGCAAATGACACTCTGACGATGTTTATCGAAAATAATCCCAGCCGATTGACACGCGCACTGTCACACGGCTGTCCTTCGAGCAGGTTCTCCGTGAAGAGGAGGATCCGAAGAGAAGGAACGTTCTGTTCGGAGCATCCCTTACCGCAACACCGATGCCCTTCTCGTTCTCCAGCGGGTCGTCTTCGCATCTCGTGCTGCCGTACCGGTACTCCATGACGAATGCTTCCGGGCCAATGTCACACGGCCGGTCGTCGATCGATTTCTCACGGGGATTGACGGTCGTCCACCGTCGTTTTAAGTCGCCATGCCCCGAATATATATATTTAACCGGTGCGAGGAAAGTGTCCTTGTCGGAAGAGGCGCGTGAAAGAGGGATGGTACAGAGCTCCCTTCGTGATCCGTCACATCGTAAGGATGGCATACGACGGCGCACCGACGTCGCCCTCCGTCGCCGTTGTCGTCGTCACCCCCGCGTTTCTCGCTCTTCCTTCGTCTTGCTTGTTACCTCGCGACTTCGGCCTTGTCGTGCTCGGGACGCGAAGGAAAGCGAACACGGGGATCGATCCGGCCATCTGCGCCGGCGTCGCGACGCCGACGTGCTCACGGCGACGCAGCCCAGGGGCTTATTTTGCGGATGCGCCCACGTCCCAACTTCTATCCGGTATACAGGATGTTCCTCGAGAATTGCGAGAGGTGTGTCCGATCCGTTCGACTCATTTTGACCTCGAGATTATTCGTAGGTCTGATAAAGACAGATAACTCGAACGGACCGTCTAATTTTCGTTGGTCAGATGTATCCTGACTCGACGAAGCTGAATCTAAGCGGTCTAGAAACGAGTTCGTCCCGTCTCTCTTTTTTCCGTCAGGGTTGAAGACGAATCGATTTCACATCCCTGCCACCGATCGCGTTCTCATTTATATGGCATAGACGCACTCTGTATATGACTTGGATGATTCAACGTGTCCAAATGTATTCGTAATCAGTAGGAGCGGTTCTTTGGAGTCCGCAACACGATGACAATTGTCTAAAATCGATGAAGCGAAGCTATTTCATTCGCGCAAATAACTTCCTATTCGTTTTAGGGGTCTCATCCGAAAGAATCGTGAGAACGTCACCTTAGAATGGTGCGAATCAATCTAGATCAAGGGACAACATTAATATAAAACTAGATTTGATTACGTAACGCCATACGCAAAAAAAAAAAAACGATTTTACTAAAATATCTAAAAATTTAGTTAGATATGGATATGAAAATAATTTTGTTAAACTATCAAAATAATTACACACAGAAAGATATATACTGTATGCAGAGCTGGGCATGTATTCGAAATATTTTTATTTGAAAAATAATATTTGTAAGACAATTGTATTTTGTATCGTGCATTTCAACGCAACACATGCAAATATTTTGTATTTTGTGTTTCATGGCAGCATATAAAAGTATTTTGTATTTTCTATTTCAAATACTAAGATTGACAATTAATGTTATTATTTGAATTACAAAGTACAAAGGACTTACAATTTTCCGATTTTAAATATAAAGTACATAATATATTTTATGTGTTTCGCTGAAATGCAAAAATGTATATATATATATATACCTGTATTGCAAAAACTATGTTTTAAATAAAAGTATTAGGTTGTTCGGAAAGTAATTTTGTTTTTTCCCAACAGAAGACTTATTGTATTTTTTCACAGCCAACTTCACACTTAAGCCGCATAATCATTATATATTTTGACAGCTGATATAGCAAGGCTTGCTTGTGAAAAAAGTTCGATTGATTCTACGCAGTAGTTTCTGGTTGGTGCCCTATCAAATATGGAAAGCAGCATTTTCGGCATATTTTACTTTTTTACTATCGAAAAGGTAAAAATGCTGTTCAGCAAGAAAAAAATTATCCGATGTGTATGGAGAAGATGTATTGACAGAACGCCAGTGCCAAAACTGGTTTGCAAAATTTCGATCCGGCAATTTTGATGTTGAAGATGCACCACGTTCTGGAAGGCCAGTTGAAGCTTATGAAGACACAATAAAGGCATTAATTGATGCAAATCGGCGAATAACAACTTGTGAGATCGCTGAGAGATTAAATTTATCGAATTCGACCGTTCATGATCATTTGAAACGCGTCTGATTGAAAATCGTCTTTCATTTTCATAATAAAAAACGAAATTACTTTCCGAACAACCTAATATTTCAAATACATGCCCAGCCTTGACTGCAAGTAATAATTACTTGTTTCAAGTATTTCGAAAGTTCATATATCTGCAAATCTATCATAAGTTTATCAAATTTATTCAAAATATATTCTGAAACCTAGTAAGTTTGATACTTGAATCAAGATTATTAAATTAAGACAAATTCGATTAGCTTATTATTATATAAAGTCGCTTCTTCGGTCAATTTTATAATATTAAAAGAAAATAAATTCTTGTTTTAAGTACATGATAACGAGTTTTATAATAAATATTACAAATAAAATTATTATCGACGTTGTTTGTTAAAGATAACCGTTACTTAAAGGAAAGAAAGCAAATTGAGCAATCATTTTTTAAAAAGAGAATAATATTTTTCTGTGTATGTAGGAAACTCAATGATAAGCAAAGCTGCAAAAAATTTTGATATTTCGGCAATTAGATTGTCCTACGTAATGTTGAATTATCTAGCTAAATTTTTAGATACTTCAGCAAAATCATTCTTTTCATATAAGTATACGTTTATAGAAGCTACCAGTTTTACGAACAAATAAATCGGTGAATCGACATAAAAATTTCCTAATAAATTCGAAGATTTTTTATCTTGTTATCATTTCATTTTCTTCAAATTAAGATCTTTCACAAAAAGATCGGTTTTGCTGAAGTATCTAAAAATCCAGCTAGATACAGATCTGAAAATAATTTTGCTGGACCATCAATATAACTATGTAGAAAGCTTAAACGTTGATGATAATGCTGGAAAAAGTTTTAATATTCTAGCAAGTCGTATATGTAATTATTTTGATAGTCGTATGTAATTATTTTGATATCCCAAACCAAATGATTTTCAGATCTGTATCAGCTCACTTTTTAATACTTCAACCGTTCTTTTCGTGTTGCAGTCGATGCTGCTGATAAGATAGTTAAGCCTTTGCGCTTCACGTCGCGATAACGCCGCGGACAAAGGAAGTTTCATAGATAAAGGTAAGAGTTCAGGTGATCGAAATGACTCGAGCGAACTTCCTTGTCCGCATCGTTCATCGAGGCTCTCGTGCATACAACGGCCACATGCACGCGCGCAACCGTTTCACGAAGGAAAAGAAGAGTTTCCGCTTTAAACGTAGACATCTCGGGATGAGATCTTCGGTTGAAAACCGGCAGCTTCTAACGAGAGGACATCGGGGAAACAATAGCAAGAAGCGGCATTTGATCCGGCGTGTGATTTCGCCGTGCGAATCGGCACGATCGTGCGCGAGGAGGCGAGACAACGCGGGGATAGACAATGGGGAGAAAAGATGAGAGTTCTCTCCGCGATTTCTCCTTCTTCGCACCTGAACCGTGCACGCGCCGCGGCCACAGGTTCTCTCTGACATTCTCCAGCCTCTCTGGTTTCCGGCGTGGGGCTGCCGTGCAATCGGCACGCGTGACGACGAACAATGGAAAGCACGTCGTCGTCGTCGGCCGAAACGGGATCGGTCGCGTGAACCGCGGTATGTTTCCCGAGCGAGCATAAAAGCATTTCTCACAAGAAGCAACGAAGGTTTTGTTAAAAGAATAAACCTCAATGAAACCGTTTGAGAAGCGGAATCGTCCTGATTGCGCAAACTATAGCGACGATTAATGAATAAACATCTATTGATGAATAAACATTGGTTGATTCGCGTACGTATAAAAGAATTACAATAAGTTGAGTACTGAAATTCGCACGGATTCTTAACGGATTCCTAGAGATGCGAAGAGACGTGAATTGACTCTTTACACGGAAAGAACGATTTTGTGTTGAAGTATATAAAAATTTAGACTAGATATAAGCCAGTATTCGTATATAGTCAGATCTTATATTTAACACCGTCTTAAGTACAGTCTTAAGATATCATGAACCAATCAGAAGTTGGTATTTATAGTCAATTCTTATTTTAAGACCCTCTGATTGGTTCGTAACATCTTAAGACTGTAGACTTAAGACTTGAGACAAGCTTGAATATAAGATCTGACTATGATTACCGGCCAGAGAGCCGTATTAGCATTTTAAGACGGTCTTAAAATGAGAAGGGATTATAAATGCCGTCCGTAGATTAGAAAATAATTTTGTTAGATTATTCAAATAATTACATAGGATGCTCCAACTGGTCACTCGAATAACAAAAGTAAGATTCTGATTATTCTTATTGAATACCAAAACTTTTTGCAACATTACTTATTATATTTATAAGTTTCCTACATAATTATTTTGACGGTCCAACAAAATTATTTTCATCTATATCTAGCTATAAATTTTTTAATATTTCAACAAAATTGTTCTTTTCGTGCAGCATTTGCCGATTACTTTTAAATATACCTTCGCGAACGATTATATAAGAAAGACCCGCGGTTTGCGGGTCATCTTCGTGTCTTCATGGAAAAAACGACTTTACTGAAATATCTAATTCAGCTAGATACAATACTATCTGAAAATAACTTTTTTCAGACGATTAAAATAATTATATAAGAACCTCAAGCATGATGAATTTAACAAAATTATTTTCAGATCTGTGTCCAGCTAATCTGTATCCAACTTAGATGCTTCAGCAAAATCGTTCTCTCCGTGTTGACACATCATTAAACGCCAACATTTCGTTAATATTGCGGTTCATTTTATTATACAATAGAACGAGAAACAACCTGATACTGATCAGTATCGGGATCAATGAACTGCAATATTCGCGAAACGTCAACGTTTAATAATGTATCAAGACGTGGAGCAAATCATGTAGCTACTTTTAAAAAAAAAAGTACCTGTGTAAGCCTCAAAGGTATTATCAATTAACTCAAATATGTGAAGGCTATTTTCTATAAGACTATATTTATCTACTCCAGTGCATCGACACTGGACAGGATGAAGTGCAAGTCTAGGCAACGTAATCGCTTTTAAAGCGATTTATAACGTTTCATGTCCGTTCGAAGATAATTAATTCGTCGCGATTCGTGCATGAGAAAGTTAATGCGAGCTGCGAAAGTGGAGATCGATGTAACTTACAGGGATACAACGGGATACGTTCGACAGTCGAATTATTCTTAGTTTCATCGTTAAAGGAGGCATTCGAGCATGCGATACGCTTATCTGCAAATCATATATGAAAGCGTAGACTTCGATCGCGAATTATAAAAAAGGAGGATCGACGATAATAATTGTAATATTTGCGTCGAAACTGCACGCTCGACCATTTAGATCGTGCGAAATGAAACTGATATGCGGTACAATGTCGAAAGATAGAGAACATTATCGTTATTCAACGCCTTCGTGTTGCAGTGAAACGTCGAACGCAATATTCAGTCACGCGTCGCTGGCTATCATTTTTACAGAAAGGAACTGAACAGGTTGCAAGGCGGTTTAGCGACGCGGACACGGATGCGCGCGAATGATCTATTCATGATTCATGGATGAAGCGCGATCCCGTTGCGGGTGGAATCGCATTTGAGAAAGGGCGTTGAACCTCGACGTGGCCTTCAGCCTAGCCGTCCGCGCGATCAGCTGCTTTTTCCGCTATACGCGTACATGCTGTGTATACATGATACTTGGCATAGCACATTCATACATGCATATGTACATAAGCGATCCCTCGTGGATATTGCGTAAATGCAATAACGGCGGAAGCTAGGGACACACTCGATGTCGATGGTGAACGTGGATCTTGAAGTTCAACGTCCATCGGCGGTATAGTCGATGTTATTCATTTCGTTCGGTAGAAAAAAAGCAGCTTTAAAACTGTTGTAAGATTCTTTATTACGACTGAGAGATTTATCCTTAGTTTTTCACTGGATCTAAATGTACCTAGTCAGCCAAGTCTGCTTGAACAGGTTTTTCAAAGCGTTTACTGACAAATTTTGTGAGTAGAAAAGTTTTAGAAGGATCTATTGTATAAAATGCCTTGACAACAGAATGTCATAAAAAAATATATTGTAACAAAATTTATTTATATTATAATTGAGGCATTCGAGGCAAAAATTGAAAAAATTTGTACATAGTTTGACGCAGATTGACAGCAGAAATCTACATTCAACAAATTCTGCTCCATTTTTACCAATCTGCTATCAAGTCAGACCAGGTCTAAACACAGATGGTACTATTGCACTTTTCTCGTCGAATTTGCTGCCAATCTGCTGGATTTGCTTGAATATAAATCAATCATATTAAATAGAATTGTCACAAATTCCCTATCCCAAAATTCCGTAATTTTTCCCTGACTTCTGGATAAAATTCCAGGTTTTTCTCTGCTTTCAATAATATTTTGAATCTTTTTGTATTTTCGTCCTGATTCGAAAACCGTCAAATATTTTGTTGAAAGAGCAATTTAATACAGTAATGTAAATTACTACTAATGTTGCTGACACTGCTTGCGTTGAATTGTTAAATTGATAGTACTCCAAAATTACGTAGGTATGATATGTACATATTAATATCTTTTAAAGCCAAGAATTTTAATTTTGCAGAATTTCTCTGATTTCCCTGATTAAAAAATCCTACAGTTGCAAAACTGCTTTTTCTGCTGCACGCACTCTCTAAATTCTTTGGAGTGGAATTTCACTCTAAATATTTCACTTTATTATAAAGAAATATAAATTTTAAACAACTTGTATACTCTCTAAATTCTTCTAAAATGATATCTTATTCTAAAGAATGAAAATTAAATCAGTCTTAAAGAAGAGTGGTTCAATCTTTAAGAGTGAAATTTTACTCTTCAAAATGAGATTCACTTTAAAAGTTTTAGAGAGCCGCCTTTATCGCTATTCCTAATTAAAAGTTGAGTCGAAAAGGCTTCTTCCAATTTTGCAATTTTCGTGATAGTTCGTGATTGGGCAGCCGGATACGCGCTTATTCGGCAATATTTAGAAATTAATAT